CTCTCTGGGCGGCCATGCGGACCCCGTCCTCCTGTCCAGCCAACCGGCGGCCGCCCCGGGCCTGGCACCTCTCTGCGCCTCCACGGGACAAACAGCACATGATCCTGGCTCTCGAGCCTAGAATGCCCCGCTGGGACGTGCAAACAGGACCCCGGCTCCCCGGCCCCCAAGCCGGCACATTCCTCCGAGGCGTCCCTTCCCTCCCCCCTTCCCCCCAGCTCTCACCTCGTCGCGGCGGGGCCCCCGGAGCAGCTCGGCGGAGTGCAAAAGGACAAACTTTCCGGAAAGCGTGAGACGGGAGCGGGGGAGATCCCGGGCCGGTTCGGGGCTGCCTCCGCCCTTCGCCGGGTCCCCGGGCGGCGGGCGGAGGACTTGCGCCCCGGGGGCGGCAGCAGTAGCGGCGCCAGCGGCCGGCGCCCGCCCGGGCAGCGCGAGCTGGGGCGGGGGACGGGCGGGCGGGCGGACGCGCGCGCGCGCGCGCGGGCAGGCGAGCGCGCGCCGTCCCGAGAAGGGACCGGGAGCAACCTAGGCTATTCTTATTAAAGGGACAATGCTCTCGGACTGTGGGTCCCACCGAACCGGGACGCAGACGCACTTGCGGACGCAGAAAAGGGAACAGGACGCCGCGACTCGGGACGGTTCCAGGCAACCGAGGAGAAGTGGGGGGAAAACGTACAGGGTACTCCCCGAAGGGAACCCAGGCCCGAGACCCGCGCACGTCGCCGCCGTCGGAGGCGCGCCCAGGGGGCAGGGCCGCCCGTCCGGCCCGCCCAGGAGGCGGTCTGGTTCAGGCCACGCCCCCAGGCGCGCGACGCCGGCCGGCTCCTCCCGCGGCTCCTGTCGCAGCCGCGGTCCTCCTCCCCGCCCGGCCCGTCGTTCCGGAGTCCGCGGCGCAGCCGCCTCAGGTGCTGGGGCCAAGTGCGGTCGGCAGTGGCGTGGCCACTCGAGCGCTCCGTCCCCGCCTGGCCTTCCACTTCGGCAGTTCCGGCAGCCCCGTCCGCCGCCTCAGACCCAACAGCCCTCAGGCCCGGGTGCCTCCTCAGGTCGGGGCTGCCCTCTCAGGCCCAGACCACCCCGCCGACCTAGCCTGGCGCCCTGAGGCCCCAGATGTATCGGCCCCCTACCTCGGGGCCAGAGGGGCGCCTCAGGCCCCCAATTATGCCCTCAGGCTCGGCCGCCCCGGGAGGTCTGGTCACGCCCCAGTGCACCTGCCCGGGGTCCCCTGAGCCCTTTGAGGCCGGCGCCGCTTCCCGAACGCGGAGCTACGCCGCCACCACGTCAGGCGCTCCGCAGCCCCAGCCTGGCCCCTCGGGTCCCTATCTGCCGCCCAGGCGTGGGTTGGCTGCCCCAGGTCAGCCGTGGAGGGTCCTGCCTGGCTTCCTGAAGCGCTGCTCTGCCCCGTGGGTCTCAGCCCAACTACCTGAGGCCTGAACGCCCACAGCTCCTAGCTGCCCCCTGAGTTCTGCTGACCCCCTTCTGAGTCAGGACATCCCGCTTGGACGCCGCCTGCCCTTTCAGTCTGAAATACTCCTCTGTCCACTTTTGCCTCGCTGCTTTCTCAGCCCATCCCTAGTTTCCATTGGATAAATGGTAGTTCACCTCTTACCGCTTCCATTGGACTTTTTCTGTCCTTTACGCAACCTGCATGCACTCTCCTATCTGGCTTTTTGTTTTGTTTTGTTTTTAACTTTGTCATGAAGGCTGGAGCACAGTGTGGCAGGAGCATGGCTTACCACAGCCTCTACCTTCTGGGCTAGGCAGTCCTGCCTCCGCTTTTTTTTTAGTTGGAGTCTCACTGTTGCCCAGGCCGCAGTGCAGTGGCATGCTCATGGCCACCGCAGCCTCGATATGCTGGGCTCCGGCGATCCTTCTGCCTCAGCCTTCCAAGTAACCGGAACTACGGGCGCATGCTACCACACCCGGTTAATTTTTTATTTATTGTAGAGATGAAATCTTGCCCAATTGCCCGGGCTGGTCTTGAACCAGCGGGCTCAGGCAATTCACTCAACTTGGCCTCCCAAACTGCTGGGATTACAGGCTGAGTCACCGAGCCCGGACTGCCTCCACCTCTTGAGTAGCTGGGACTACCGGTGCACATCACCACATCCAGCTAATTTTTTAGTTTTTTGTAGGGATGAGGTCTCACTATGTTGCCCAGGCTGGTCTCGAACTCCTGGGCTGAAGAAATCCTCTCAATTCAGCTCCCCAAAGTGCTGGGATTATAGGCATGAGCCACTTATCTACTGTTTCTATCTACCTACCCCTCCTGGCTCTTGGGTCATCCTTGGCAGTCTCTAATTCTGGCTCTGTGTAACTGATTACTCTGCTCTTTTTATCCATAGACATTCCAAATTACCTCCTCCCCCATCACCAACTGACCACTCTGTCCACGCTTAATTTTCACTAACTACTCATACCTGATTCATTTTCCAACCCTCAAGTCTGCCACTTCTCTAACTACCCCTAAATGCCTCTGCCCCATCCAATTTCTCCACTTGTCATCCTTTTTTTACTTCATCATTCTATATCACCAATCAAGTCACTTAACTGTCATCCGTAAATTTTACTTACTCTGTACATGTAGCTTCAAAAAGTCTGCTTTCTCATGTACCTTTTACCATCCACTCTTTTTGAGCTTACTGTCTTCAACTTGTGTGTCCAATTAATAGTCCAGCACTAGAAATAACTTTTAAGCGCTTTTTCCTTTTTCAGGATCCACACATTCTCTTTCCAGTCTCTCTAGATTTGCTACTGGTCTCATCCCTACAGCCAATATGCCAATCATTCATGAGTGAATGATTCCTTCTCCATTATCCTCCCAGCACCAAAGAGGAGACTCAGTCTAGCTACCCAGTCCAGTTCAGTCATGCAGCTACAGGAAGATGGAGATAACTTCATCCCCTTTGCTAAGTGAGTCCTCCCCCTGGGTGGGGAGGATGGGGATGGGATGGAGGGAAGATGCATGCCTGGGTCCTTCCCTAAGAGGATTAGGAAATAAGGAACAGGAAGTTCAATGCCTGGTCTCAGGGGATTGATGATTCATTAATTTATTTGAGGACTGCAATGTTCCAGGCATTGTATTAGGCACTAGGGATTCAGCAATTAGCAGGATAGGGGTCCTGGCCTTGTAAGCTTACATTCTAGAGGGGAGGAGACAGAATGGGTAAACATAAATATGATTTCAACTAGCGATGAGTACCATTATAAAATAAACAGGAGTATAAAATAATGGAAAATTAAATGTTTGGGGGAACACAAGATTAGATATAGTGATTGTGAAAGAATATTCTGAGGAGGAGAATTTGAACTGAGATCTGAAAAATGAGAAGGAGTTAGTCTAGATAAGAACCAGGGGAAGAAGGAAGAGTAGGTTAAAAAGCCCCAAGAAGGAAACAGGCTTGGCATGTTCTAGGAACAGAAAGCAGGTCAGTATAAGTGAAACTTAGTGATCATTAGAAAAGTGGAGAGTAAAGTCAGAGTTAGGCAGAAGTCAGATCATGTAGGACCTTATAGGCCATCAGGATGAATGGTGGGCACACATTCTTAGAACCTCCCGAGGATAGGTGTGCCTGGGCTGGAATCCTCAAGGTTGGCTCAAGAATAAACCATCTTTGCTGGGCAACAGAGTGAGTCAAAAATAAATAAATAAAAGAAACCATCTTTTTTTTTTTTTTTT